TTGGAGCAATCATACTCTCATCTCCAAACTTACGAGACACGTGAATTTTATCTCTCCGCAACATAGCCGAAACTTGTATGACTGCAATGTAACGATATCTGATGTCCTATTCATCTCTGCTCCAATCATCTATTGGGAATGACAAAAATATTCTGCTTATATAAAATGATAAATATGTGGTAAATTATTAGAGGCTATTTGTCCTTTTGCAATTATTGAACAATGTTGCACAAGCAATAACGAAACACTTTAACAATGAAATAATTTTAAAAGTGATTTATAAATAATTAAAAGTATTTTTCCAATAACTTTTAATAATCCTCTCAATCATCTTACTGAATATTCCATCAAGCATATACATAGAAAAATTTGTATGCATAGGAATGTTTAAAGAACCATATTAATTTGAAGAATTTTTGTCTTAAAAATTATATTATAAATTATAAAATTATAAAATTATAAATTATATTACAAATTACATATTACAAATATATTACAAATTATTAAAAAAAAAAAAAAAAAAAAAAAAAAAAAAAAAATATATTAAATTCAGTAAAAAATGGCAATGAAGTGGCTTGAAAATAAATCGATAAATAAATTAATGTGTAAAAACTTTTATTATAAATAAATAGCTTATGCCAAACGTAAAGGCAAACTTACTTTCATGGGCTTTTAGTGATAAAGTCTGTGAATAAAACCATGTGCAATTTTATCTAAAAAATATTAGTAAAATCAATTAATGTTTAATTACATATTATATTGTTAAAGTATTTAAAATAAAAACAAAAAATTACCTACAACAGATACCTTTAAAATTAGAAATATTGTATAAACTCAATTGATTACAATATTTCCCAATACCAAGCTGCTCAACTCCATCGTAAACCCAACCATATACTTCATCAATATCCACTACAACCATAGATGAAGTTTATCCGCAGACAATAAGTATAAGGATTTTTCCTATTTAGGCTGAATTAATTATCTTTGTTCGTTGTGCACTTTGGTGCGAGTTCGTTTCACCGCACGGTTGAGCGGTTGAAAAAAAAAATTTTTTTTTTTTTTTCACAAAAACATACCTTCGAATTAAAAAGCTTCAGAATATTCAATACATTATCAATAAATTGACATATATGTGTTAACACATTGTCCACTGTTTATTTGCTAGTTTACGTTCCGATAAGATCTAGGAAAATAAATATTACATCAATAAATGATTGAGACTTGCTCCACCATCTTTTGTAAGAGCAATTTGATGATAACTGACACAAAAATGCCCTAACAATTCTTGCATTGATATTAAAATGGAGAATTAAAGTTAATTAATGATTTACGGAGTCGTCTTCCTAATCGACAATAGCCATTACGAGAGAACAAACTCAAGAAGAACAAACCTATTTATGACGTTTTAAATAATTTCTATAAGAAATGTGATAAGACTTCAGAATATTAGTTAAAAAAAAAAGCTTTTACAATTTATTTGTTTAAGTTATTAATTTCTCAATTATTTTAATATATGTTAATATATATATATATATATATATATATATATATATATATTATAATATTATCAACCTCTTTATTATTTATTTCTTTATAGCAGTAAGAGCTTTTATTTATATAGAGCATGTAGTTAAAATTTTTTTATTCTCAAAAATTCAACGTTATCCCTTCGAAGCCATACATATCTCCAAATTTATAAACATTAAAGTCTGATTATTTTTAAACAACCTATTTATAGTAACAATTTTATTCAAACTTCTGTTTGTTCATTTATAATACTTTAAATACTTAAAGTAAAGAATAATAAGCTAATATAAGTTTATTTACCGAAAACAAATAAATTTATATTAAATTAAGTTTACTCTTCTTCTATAGCATCGAAGAAACTAAGAATTAAAATGAAAATTAAACATTTATAAAATGAATATATATATATATATATATATATATATATATATTTTTTTTTTGTTTTTTTTTTTTTTTTTTTTTTTTTTTTGTTTTTTTTTTTTTTTTTTTTTTTTTTTTTTTTTTTTTTTTTTTTTGTAATAGATTTGGTATTATATAGAACATTTTTTAATGAACATTTACTCAATATTCCAATATTAATTTATAAATAGATCCAGATATGGAATAAACAATAGCAAAATAGTCCATATTATAATTATAATTATAATTGAAAAATTAGCCGAAAACAGTTGATCGATATAAGCTACTTTACATATACATTATAATAAAAATAAATAGAAAAATATATGTATAAAAATATTTATGGATTTATTTATTAGATATTAATCTATATTGTATCATCGACAAATATAACAATTATTTTATTAAATATTTGAGCATTTCATATTCTCTAGTTGAGTGGGTGAAAGAATATTTAAGATAAATTTTACTTGAAATTCAATTGATTTGTCAAATTTCACTTTTAATTCGTTATAGAATAATGATTTTCATTAATTTTTATATTATTCATTCTTATTATATTATTGATTGTTGAGAAATTTAATGTTGCGTATTGTTAAAATGTTTTTTTAACGTGTGACAATTGTCATAACGACTCACCATATGAGCAAGACAGCATATTCGGGAATATATATTTTACCTTGAAATAATAATAATAAAAATAATAAAAACAAATGTATGTACTTATTTAATTTAATTGTACGGCTTGACATTTTCATTAAAGAGTCAGCGAAAGTATACAAGATGACTTGTGATGTCGTCGTGCTCTGTCTTCTTCCATGCACTGCCGGCTTAATTATTAACAATATTTTTAAATGATTTTCAAATAAGAGACAAAAAAAAAGAGAAAAAAAAGAAAAAAAAAAGAAAAAAAAAAATTGAGAAAAATTTGAATGAAGTAACAACAACGTAAACATAGATCTTTTTATCGAATATTCACACATTGTTGTGAGAATCTAGTAATTTTTTTTTTTTTTTTTTTTTTTTTTTTTTTTTAATGCAGCATTACAGTTGCAGGGTTATAGTAAGATTTTTATTTACAAAATTCACGTTTCGAATCGTAAGAACATAATTCATAATTCATTCGTACAAAGATGATATTAAATTCTTATTTAGGAATTTATTTATGAAAAGAGAGCCGGATGTTAAAGTAAAAGCAATTGTACGATTGCGCCTATAATGATGGGTAATGCTTCAACATCATAGTCAATTATATTCAAATTAAATATAATTAATAAAAGCAAATAACATGGTGAATCTGTTTGGTTTGACACTGGACTTAATAATGCAATGAAATTTGATAAATAAATCGAAATAAGTGGTAGGAATACCCGAATTTTGCCGATTAGATAGTTGTAGAACTCGAAAAATTTATCCGACCACTATCCTCGCTTCTCTCAATTCTGTCGAAATTCCGAGAAAATAAAATCGATTTATTCGACGTTTGCGCAATGGAATTCTAAGCGCATTGGCTCGTAAAAATGCGCGCAATTCCCGTAAGTTAAATAATGTATCCTGATTTCTCTCCTGCCCTTACCCAACTATATAATTAATCGATCCACTCGCGCTTCAATACACACTCGTATCTATTTGATTTTGCGTCTTGTGAAATAAATGATTGTAAGAAAGACGAGAGTTACATCGCTGAAATCATCTTTCAATCAACCAACTTTCTACCTTCTCAAGATCTTAGTGTAAAGCTATAAGAAAATTATCTATCCACTCTATCTACCGATGCTCTATCTAATAAATTAGAATAAAAATTTCTTTCTAATTTCATTAGGGTGTTTAACAAAATCTTAATTAAATATTTAATCTTTCTCGTTCTCAATAATTATTTGAACGTTCAATCATTTAACAATGATTCGAGGGGAGACTGATTTTAAACAATCTATTATTATTTATGCTGACGGGGATATTTTATGTTTTTAAGCCATACACTGTTATACGTAAGCTATGGATATAAAAGTATAATCACCTCGTCAGCATTAAATATATATTCCTTGAAACCCGCATACTCTATTTCAAACTTGATACTTGAAATTTTATTATTCACGTGAAATATATCGACTAGTCACACGCGCGAGACCGCGCGCGCACACACACACACACACACACACACACGCGTATATATATATATATATATATATAGAAAATGTATAGTATACTTAATAATTTAATAACAACAAATAATTTATATTACATTTACATGCATTGCGTGCAAAGTTATATATAATATAATTGGGTAATATGAAAATCTTAAAAATATATATGAAAATAAATCATCGTTTATAAAAAATTAAATTATATGAAGACAAAATGATATTAAACTTTTTTAATGCCTTCTCTTAGGTGTAAGTTGACGCTTTAATAAAATATAGAATTTATTGTATGGTGATACGGTAATATTACATCAAAACTACAAGAATTTATTCATAAAAATATTTTTATTAAAATGTTTTCTTTAATAAATGTAAATTATGTTGACAATTCCTGTAATATTTAATACCATATACATTAGATCATAATTCATTGTATAAAAATATCTCTACTGTTTACGTATGCGTTTACGCGCGCACGCACGCACGCACGCACACGCACACACACACACACGCATATATTCGTTATATTTATTATAGAATGAAAAATATATATTTAATATTAAATAAATAATACGTAATTATATAATTTCACTGTAAACATTAGTGCTATAGCGTATGCTTGCTCATTTTCAATTTCAAGGACTATTAAAATTACTTTGTTAAGATTCAATTGTATTATTTATTCATACTACGATAGCAATAGGAAATCATGATTTAACGAATATTTATTTTTCTTTTCTTTTCTTTTCTTTTCTTTTTTTTTTTTTTTTTTTTTTTTTTTTTTTTTTTAAATTATTCTTCAAATAAACATTAGGAGAACCAATAAGATCGAGCGATAAGTGCGCATGCGATTTTTTAACCTATTTTCCTGGAGTCGAACAATCGAACCTCTGCATATTTCATTTTATTATAGTTTTTCCCGCCGAATTGTCAGAGGGACTGTGACAGTAGTTATTATTACTAGTTATTTATTAATTAAAAATAATGAATATAGTAAATTCCATTACGGCACGAGAAACAGGATTAAGTACATAATAATTATTAACATTACATTAAGAAATAAATTTTATTTATTAATTAATTTATACTTATTAATTAGCCCAATATAAGCTTCTATGTACTATAACATTATTTATTATGTGTAAAAGAATGAAGCTGTATAAATATATATATATATATATATTTATAATCATTATTAATTAGAAATTATTCAATTTTATTTTTTTACAGAATACTTTCAAAATAATGACATTGCATTGTTGCGTTTAAAATGTTATCGCGAAGATGCCTATCAAGGAGTTTCAGCAAATGTTAATGCTGCGGATTATAATCCAAAACCTCCAATTTTTGCATGTAAATTCTCTTCTGCTAACCAATATTCTCAAGTAATAGCTCTTGTAAACGAAGATGGCAAGCTTGCTTTACAAGATACAACGGTCAAATATGAATCCCAAGAACCACTGGAAGGAATTCAGGTGGATATATTTAAGAATCTGAAATTGTTTTCTTCGACATTCCTCTTAGCTTTATTTTTTTTTAAGCATCGATATATTCTTTATAGAATTTAAGATGCAACAGAATGCAAACAATCTTCTTTTAAAAGAATGCAATTGTCAATGCGATTGTAAATAAAATTATTATCCTAAAGTAATAATAGTTTAAGTTATGTCTCTTTCAATAATTAATAATTATCTATTTTATTAGCTTTAATTTTATAATAATCAAATTTACTGAGAAATTGACATGTAATTTACAGTTTTTTCTTTTGTAAACGCCAAGCAAATTTTTAGAGCTTTAATTAGATTATTATATATATATATATATATATATATATATATATATATATATATATATATCAATATTTCTACATTAATTCTATATAATTTAATAAATTTTATTATTAATATAATGGATGTTTTAATGTTTAAAAATATTGTAAACTACAGGCTCACAATAACGCTATATTCGATATTGCATGGATGCCACAAGAGTTAAAACTAATTACAGCATCGGGTGATCTTACCGCTTGTCTATGGGATGTTTCATCAGAAATGAAACAATTACAAGTATTCGCCGGCCACACAAATTCCATTAAAAGTGCTGTCTTTAGAAATCAAGATAAAGGTAGAACGCTAAAATAAAACATTTATCCTTAAATGTTGAATTTAGCTAAACTAACGTTGACTAAACCGTCCTTTTCTTTTAATACAGCTGTGTTTGCAACGGGAGCTCGCGATGGAGCCATTATGATCTGGGACATCAGAGCTAGTCATAGTGGTCAGCCCAAACCTGACAATTTAATCTTTAATGCTCATGAGATGAAAGTGTCATGTGGAGGAAAACAACGTAAACTACTATCGCAATCTGTTAAGTCCTGTAAATCTCAAAGTGTCACGGCCCTTGCTTTTCAAGACGATTATACATTATTCTCATGTTCTGCGGGAGACGGGTATACAAAGTTTTAAACTCAATTCCCTTCGGCTCTTTTAATTATAATTATAAAGACACATTTTGTCGCCATTAGGTTAATAAAGGCCTGGGATCTTAGAAAAAATTATACGATCCATAAGAAGGAGCCTATAGCTAAACATACCATGAATTATGGAGGAAAAAGTAATACCTACAATGGCTTTACATCCCTTTTGATTTGCCCATCGGGTATTACAATGTATGCAAGCTGCGTGGATAAAAAAATATATGCATACAACTTATCGTCGTACAATCCTAATCCAAGTAAATTAAATCGAATTATAGCGTCTCAATGCAAACGCACGAGGAATATTGATATTTCATAATAATACTTCCATAATAGTTGCAGAATATCATGGGCATGGATCACACAATAAAATGTTGACATTTTTTGTAAAAGCTTGTTTAAGCCCGGATGGGAAATATCTTGCTAGCGGATCGAATAATGAATCAGGATACATCTGGCATACGAGAAATCCAGGAAAACCATTAATTAGACTCTCCGGTCATAGAGACGAAGTCACTTGCGTTGCTTGGTGTAATAGTGGTGAAACAAAGGTATTTACAATATCAAATAAATAGACAAATAATCAATACTCTATGTAGTGACAGACTTCTTACACCTCAAAGCTCACGAAATTCATCCTGATAAAATGTAAAGATTAATTTTTTCTTCTTCAATGATAATGGTCATACACATCATTTAAAATTGTATTAAATCGTCGCTCGGCTTACGATACAAAGACATGTTGAAATTTGAAATAACGAATCAATTGTAAATTTCAATGATCTTATATAATAAGCATTTGTCGTCATAATGTTGTAAAAGCTCAATGGATATTGATTTGCTTAGATCGTCACCTGCTCCGATGACAGTTGCCATAGAGTTTGGCGAGTCAGACCGGAAGAAATTGACGAAGACGAGAAAATAAATATATTTGGATACGCAGAGCGCTACGAGCAACAATCGAACCTGGAATTAGGTAGCTCAAAGATATAAGATAATTCATATTCACTCAATGCAATCAACATCTTCACACTCGTTACAAAAATGCCAATCCTAAACTCACTATTGTCCAAATTGCTATTACAGACAGTCCGTCGAAGCTCGGCATAGCAGATTTGTCACCGGAGAATAGAGGACTGATGAAATGCACCAGCTCAAACAAGCGCTTACTTTCTTCACCTCATAAGGATGCCCGTGGATGCTCCAAGCGCGCGAACTTGAATATTCGAGCGACTCGGGAACTAAAATTCAGGCCCAATTGCGAACTGGTCCCAAGTACTTCACCAGCCTCCTTTTCACCAACTCTCGATCTGCCGAATTTCGTCGTAGACGGCACAGCGCCTCACTTATCCAATTCACCCAAAAAGTTCAAAGAAAACTTGAACTGGCTAACGGAAATACGAAAGCGAAAAAATGCTTGTAAAATAATAACGGACAACTTTATCAGTTCAAAAATTAGTAAAACACCCACGCGTAGAATAGGTAGAGTGCGATCGACAGAGTTGAGAAAGATGTCGAAGAACTCTTCCTGCTTTATGCCAGCGATTACGAATTTTTATTCGAATTTAAGCTTGGAAGACGGCAAAGCGACATCGCTCTGCACATCATAAACATAACGGAGCTTTAATGCATTGCTAATAAAGTCTTACTCTTTAGGCAGTGTAAGCCAATAATTAATAATTTCGCATAAAAACTTGTACATAATATTGACACAATTTAGAAATGAATGGACACAATTAGAAATTCATAATAAGTTATTTTATATATATATATATATATATATATATATACACACGCGCGCGCGCGCGCGCGCACACACACACACACACATATATATATAGACACATACATACATATATAGTTGCATATATTTTTATAAATTTTTACATTATTGTATTTAATATGCATTTACGAAGGAAAGTGGTTTTTTAAGAAAAAAGTAATCGTAAAATATTGTAGATGATTAATAATAATAAAAGCAACAAAGAATTTCGAATTATCAAATAATTAGAATTGAATGGTGGATAATTTTAATGATTCTCTGAAAACAAATTTCATAAGATGAATGTTTGTTTTAAACGATTTTTTAAGCTTAAACAAATGTATTTTATTATTTTAACACAATAACTATTTGACGACGAAAAGTTGAACAAAAAAAGAGAAAAGAAAAAAAAAAAAAAAGAAAAAAAAACTAAATTATATTGTAATAAATTATATGTATATAATCAAGTTTTATTTTATTCGAAGAGAATTATTTATTTTGTTATTTCATTAATTTCTTAAATTGAATAAATTGAATAAATTATGTAGAATATTTTTTGGAAATTAAAAATACGACAATAAAGTTATGAAGCTATAAAGATTTTTGTAGTTTTAAACAATTGAACGTCCGATCTAGTTGTAATATAGTGAAAATTTAATGTAATAATAAAGAAATGTGTATATGCATTCTTAAAATTATCGTTAAGCCAAGTATCTCATCGTATTTATAATATACACAATGCGTTTTCAATATATATTTATTTCATCTAACCTTAGACTGCAAGAAACAACGAGGAAAAACATTATTTTTATATAAACATTTATTATATGGAATTTCAGTGGTTACATGTACAGTATTATCGAATGTCAAACAGATTAAAATATATTATATAAAGTATAAAGTGAAATATTATATATCAAATTTTATAATAAAATTGTAAAACAATATTAATATATTGTATTATGTGCCTTACACGATAAATCTGTACTTTTGATAATATAGGTCATTTACTATTATTATATATTTTTAGCTCGATTCAATCAACTTTTACATTAATAAATAAATTAAATGTATCAATATAATTATTAGTTTTAACAAATTATATTGAATATCCTTCATTTCCATTTTAAATATAAATATACATCTAAGTACATCAAATTGTCACATATTTAACATACGATTACTATTATACGTATTATTAATTTACAATATAAATTAAAAATTAAAATAGTAATATAACTATTCTTTGGTTTTTAATTGCAATTAAGAATAATTATATTTATTCTCTTTGTATGTATAAATAATCATATTACACGTGAAATTATAAATATTGAATAATTTATGAGAATAATAATCTTGTAATAAATCAGTTTAGTAAGTACTTTGTTCGAGCAATAATTACATTTTATTTACGTCGATATAATTGTATACGTATATGTATACGTATGCATACATAACAAATAAAATGAGGTACAAAAATTGATTGAATTTCTTACCGAACAAAACAATAATTGTACATAAATTATAAAATAAAATATATATAAGTTTTTTAATAAAATTTTCAGACCTCTTAATTACCAAAATACAATTCTTTACAAAATAAGATTATTTTTATATTAATAAGCCTAGCATTTCTTGCTCTTTTACACATATAACTCTGCACTTCACACGTATACACATACACACACACATACACACACACACACACACACAAATATATTTATCATGGTCACAGAAATAATGGATAAGACCTTATAAACTAATGACTATTTTGTAATTGAATTTTGCTTATTTCATATATAAATAATATTAAATACTTTTGAAATATTTGATTATTTGGAGCGGTACAAACATTATCTTTCAAATAATATATTTATTTATATATTTATTTTTTTATAGTATTATTAATTATAATTATTACGTTGTAGTTTCTTAAATATTATTATTATTATTATTATTATTATTATCATCATTATTATTATTATTATTATTAAATTAATCGATAATGCTTTTTATTCCATTAGTCATGATAATTAATAGATTATTAAAAATGTTAAGTATATATAAAAGGAAAAAAAAAAAAAAAACCAAAAAAAACTTATTTATTTTTTCATTTTCATTTTCGTATTATATAAAATGCATTAAATAAAACAACATTTTATAAAAATAAACTGAGCATTTGTAAAGTGAGTTTAAAATATTTCTTTATAAACGAATGAAATATTTTATTTGAGCGATTCTGTAAGTAGAATTCACGTAGAAAATAAACTCTTGAATCGCTGTCCTTAAATTTATTTAGAATTGTATTTATCCACGAAAGTTGAATATATCACACCTTTTATTTTTTTTCATCTGTAATTTTTAAATATAAATTGTATTTATCATTAAATTAATTGAAATGCTTTATTTTCTAACAATATTTTGCAAATAAAATAATTGACTCGAATAAATATAAAGCAAATGTTATTTTTTATTTTTGCATATTATACTTAATTTATGAGAAAATTTAAACACATAAAAGTATTATGGATTGGAATAAAATTAATGTCTTAAATAAGGAATATATTTCATGATAAATTGTATGTTATAAGTAACAATATAAGCATGAATATCATTAAATAAGTTATTTTATTTATTGCAAGCATTAAGAAAGATTTTAACTTTCTGACAATATGATTTCAGTCGTACGAATTATATATTTGAGCAAAATATTTTTTATAAATTCAATTTACATATACATATACTTATTCTTAAAAGTTCAATAGAATACCTCAAAAATAGTTTCAACAATCTTCACATATTTGTAGAATGACCAGAGTACGATTAATTTCTCTGAACATTCCATGAAAAAATTATGCATTAATAATTTTGTATATTATATACAATTATATATAGATTTTCTTATAAAAATCATCATGTAAAGCAACTTATAGGTATGACTAGATATGTATTAATAATTAAAAATTTGTATGCGTTTACTTGAAATTATTATAATAATATTAACTTAATACATGATATGTATTTGAAAAAATCTATAGTACAAATATAATTGTATATGATCGTACAATGACATGAAAATAAGTTATAAATATAATTCAAGAGTTAGACGACTACTTTTTTTCAATTTCAAACATCCAAAAAAAGAAAAAAAGAAAAAGAAAAAAAAAAAAAAGAGAGAGATAAACATCATTATTCTAGTAGAGTTTCTGGGTATCGATACAGTTTTTACCCAGTAATTTTACATCTACAATACATTAGATTTACTTATGTAATATAAATTAATTTCGATAATTAATTGATGTTTAAAAAAAAAAAATTTCTGCTTTTTTTTTTATTTTTTTTTTATTTTTTTTTTATTTTTATTTTTTTTATTTTTTTTTTTTTTTGAAAGAAATTACTTGTATAAATAATAATATTAGAAAAATTTAGTTTTAAAGATATAATTTGAATACAAATTGTACAAGGACTCTTAACAATTGAAAGTACTAAAATTTAAAAGCGTAATATTACAATTTTCATATTGAAATTGCTCATTAAATATTAATTGTAAATTCAGTAATTTAAAATGAAAAAATTAATTAGTCTCTAGAAATACGAAGCAGTCTAACGCCTTAAAGTGATGACTACAATTCTATTAATTAATTCATTACATTATAAAATTATGGAAAACACATTTCATTTCTTTTTTCAATAAGTAAACCTCCAACTATCTGATATAACGATTTTTAAGTATTGTAAATTTTCACATTATGTTTTTATGTTTTTAGAACGATTTTTTAATAATAAAAGTAAGGATTAGTTAGATCCATTTTATTTGTAAAACGCAGCTTTTACAAAATATTTATCGAAAATATTTAATCTTTTCATATTATAAATTTTCAGTAATAATTTTCATATATTCTTATTGATATAATGTTGAAATTGAAAATAAGCTAATTGAACTTCACAATAATAATCTACACGTATTTGTTTCATTCTAACTTATCTTACACTTATTATTTCAAAAAATTGCAGAAGAACAAGTATCATGCGCATTTCTAAACGTATAATAAAAAATAAAAAACTTGTATTAAATTATTAAAAACTAAAAAATTAGTAAACCGATTAAGTCGTACAATAGTAACAAACAAAAATATTGAATTTAAATTAATTTACACATACGACAGACCATTATTTCAATTTAAAAACATGAACATAAAGCATAAATTTTACTATTGTACATGCGTTAGTTATGCATAATAATGATTTTATGTAACATACAATAGCGAATTAAATAAATGAATTAATATTTGTTTAACTTCATCAATTATAAACTAATTTTGAACTATTTAATAATTCACATTGATTAAAGATACCACTTATTATTAATTAATCGACTACGCGAAAGGATATACTATTTGGAATTTTTTATCATTAAGTATTGTTATATAGTTTTAAAACATCAACACAAGTATACCAATGGCTAGTATAAAATTAACTATACGACTCTGATTCTTTAGTATTGCAGGTATTATTGAAGAAGAAAGAAAGAAAGAAAGAAAGAAAGAAAGAAAGCAAAAAAAAAAAAAAAAAAAAAAGATGAAGAAAAAAAAGTCAAATTGGATAACCAAATTATCAAACGTAGAAAAGTAAGTTGGCTTCACCACAATATCACATACGTTTTGATATCTATTATCATAAGGTAAATGTTTATTAAACAAAAGAATTTGTTCATAAATCCTCGGCTTTTATCTTCATTGTCGATCCCCGGAGCCTTCTACGCCTTCTACGACTGTTCGTGACTGACGTCCTTATTAAGCAATTGTTCCGTATTGGCATTATTTGATGCCAGCACCTCCTGCTCCTTGAGTCGTTGGCGCTTATTTCTGTTGCGCTTGTGCATGCAGCAGAGTGCGACAAAAATGCAGGAAATAAAGACACCGATGCAGGAGGCAATCCAAATCCAGGTCGAACGAGCTTTACGCGCTTCCACTCGATTTCGAACATTTGCTAAGCAAGTGCTGTACAAGCTCATCGTTCGATTCGAAAATTCCACGATGGAACACCGTTCGCGCACAGCCGGCGGACAGTCCAGCGGGAGCTTCAACTGTTTTCGATAAGATGGACAAAGCGTCGGTTAATGTTTCTATGTTACACTACATTGTTTATTAGTTTATTAATGTTTTATCGCCCTTGTCTGTGGCTATCGATAAATTGGATCGAATGGGACTTTATTTTCCCATAATCTTGCTTAATAATCTTGCTTTCCGATAATAAGGTTTACGTGTCATTAAAGCCGATTGATCAATATGCCGTAGCTACAGACAATGCATATATATATATATATATATAATAGAAGAAGAAAAAAATAAATAAATAAATAAAAATATTATCAAAGTGCTGCCCAAGTAGCGATTTAGAGTTTTATCAAGAAATTAATTAAGGAATTTCATTCATCATATATCATACGAGCCGACATTTTATAAATGTTGAAAGCCCCGAGTAGCATAAACGATATTATTACTTATTTTTTAATCGGTTAGCTCGTTCAGTATTTTATTTCCCATGACGGCATTTAAATCAATGAAATATAAAAGCACGTAATGTTTAAGCTTGTACGGGAGAATCGATTAAATAACCCTTCATTTTTCTATTAAATCGCCATTGAAATTATCATTGCAATTTACTACGACGGATTGTCGTTTCAATAACGAATCTGCACCTTAATGATTTTGATAAATTTTTGAAATTTTTGAAATTTTTGAAATTTTTGAAATTTTTGAAATTTTTAAAAAATTTTTGACATTCCCACTACCGTTGCCTCATAATCCAATAAATTATATTCGTAATGTAATCTGTCTATAGCTTTCTTCTCCTTAGCTCGGCTCGACAATCTTCAAACGATTCACTAAAATACTAATATTTGCTTTTGTACAAATGTTAATTCCTATAAGAAATATAAAAAAAAAAAACTCCAATTTCTATCTAAAGTCAAGATATCGGCGATATTCCATTATCGAGTTAAGACAGTTTCAAGATTAATATTTTCCAGAACGTTAGGTCGGTTGATGTTAATTAAACGTTAAATCAAATACATCGCGCACTTGGCATAATTATATAAAATAGCGATATTTGAGAGGCTGTAGGGGGTAAAAAAAAATTTGTCATTATAGATAACGTTGATGAGCTCACCTTAATGCCTCTGAAGCTAATCCATTCCCTCAGCTCGTAACATTCGCAATTGTTTTGATCGAATCTGATTGGATTGCCCGTAATATCGAAAATCTGAAGCGAACAAAGCGATGCTATATCTTCCGTTGTTATATGGTTGATTGAGTTATGGGAAACGTTGAGTAGGGTGAGAGTGGTTAAGGGGCTCAGCTTTGGAAGCCGAGTTAGTTTATTGTTGGCGAGATAGAGCCATTGGAGGGGCGAACGAATGCCGGATACGTCGAAAACTGCGTCTGTCAGTTGATTATCGCTCAGGTAGAGATTACGTAGGGACTGCAACTGGTAGAGACTCTTGGGTAGCTCGAGCAAGCCATTTTTCGACAGATCCAACACCTCCAAATAATAAGTTGGGCCAAACGCGTGCTCAGCTATTGTCTGCACGAAGTTGTCTTGTAAATATAAATAACGCAGGCTCATGTACCGTGACAACGTGTCGTTACGAAGCTCACGAATACGATTCTCACGTGCGTCCAGTACCTTATGGATAATACAAAGTTCATGATATTTTCTTACTTTTCTCCATTACTCACTAACTTGCTATAACATTTAGCCTAAACAGTTTCTCTATTTCACGAAATATCACTTCCATAATAATGTTATAATAATTATTAATATTTAAAAAAGTAGTTCGTATGATAATTCGTAATATTTACAGAGCAACATTTTAGGTGAAAATCTTTTTTTTTTTTTTTTTTGTTTTTTTTTTGTTCTAATAATAATTAAATAAAAAGAGTATTTACATTTTTAAAAAATCAATTGAAGCTATTTATTATAAAACAAAAAAAAAAAAAAACAAAAAAAAGAAAAACAAAAAACAAAAACAAAACTAAAAAAGGAAACAAATATTTATACTATAATGTTAATACTTGAATTTTCATTTTTTTTTTTTTTTATTACTTTTAGCATTGATGATACAATCACATTATATGGAATAAAAAGTGTATGACAGAATAATAAAATGCAGCCAATATTTACATGTATTTGACATTTATCTTGAATGTATAATATTATTGAATTTTTGAATTTTTGAATATATAATATAATATTTTTATAATTGATTTTTGGAAATAAATTTTTCGACTTTCTTTATCCTGTAGTAAGTATGGAAGCGTACAATTATTATTATAGATTTGATAGATAATTTAGATTAATAATGCAATTGTAATAATGCATTACATAATATTAGAAAAATATTAATTATTAGACTTACGGCGCAGTTATTATATGCAGAAAGTTTTTTTTTTTTTTTTTTTTTTTTTTTTTTTTTTTTATTAAATAAAATTAATTAAAAATTTTAATCCATTACATTGGTTAGGCAACGTTTTATCATTGTTATATTAATATATTAAAAAATTTTTTTTTTTTTACTATCGATATAACTACGTATTATTACTAGTATAAACAATATTATTTATATTATTACTTCATTATCCATTATATCGCTTAAGATTATTGGTTTATATTAATATTACTGCTTAGTAAATATTTAAATGGCATTCATTGAATAAATGGTTAATTCTAATATGTAAAATTACAGTTCAACTTAAAAGAAATTAAATCCTTATTCTCGACGATATTGATTAAATAACGAAATATATGATTAAAAATTTTCTGCTGTAAATTAAATACGCGAAAAGAGTGAGGGACGAAAGCGTTTTCTCACCTCAATCCCAGTTTGAAGATTGTTCGGCACATCATTCAGCTTTAGATCTTTACATTGGGCCTGTAAAAGATCGTATGATCTAATGTAACGGCATTTTTTAAGCGGCAACTCTGGATCCATGAGAATCATCGAACCTGCAACGACTCCCGCCACCTGACCACCGACCAACCATAATAGCAATGCTGTCAGATTGATCAAGTTCATGTCTGTGAATGAAAAATATCTCTCTATATTATATTATATTATAATAAAATATAAAATAATAATCTATCTGTGTCTCACATATGCATAATAAACATATGTAATAATTTAGATACTCAACTATTTTTATATTACTGCCATTTCAATAGTAGAATTATGTGTTAATCGGATTTATGCAATAGATTAATATAATTTTAAAAATCAATACAAATTTTAAATTAAGAGAAAAATATAAATTGCACATTGTATCATGAGTTTATATAATAATGAATCTTGGATGTCAAAATATCATTTCGAAGCTACCAAGTTTTCGTCACCCTCACAATTTTAATCTATTAAAGTAAAATTGTTTCATCCTGTCGATAAAGGATTATTTGACTATTTATTGTGTTGGGAAGATTTATTGAACATTTCATACACATCTATTCTTGCATGAGTAACGTAAGAAACAAATTAATTTTGATTCTACCTTCACTTACTTCACTTACATATATAAAAGTTTAAAATAACCATCAAACGACAATATGTTCAATAAAATTATCTTACAACAAAATATTACAATTACATCATTGCAAATCTCATAATTTAAGATCTTTAATATTAATTTAATTTTTCAATAAATATAAATTCAAAATAATAAATAATAAATAATAAATATAAATTCAAAATATAAATATATATATATATATATATATATATATATTTATATTTTAAAAAACCTTATTGAAAAATTATAAATAAAATATATTGAATAAAAAATATTCAATATATATATATATATATATATATATAGAAGTAATCTATACTCATTAAATTATTTTTTTTTTTAATTTGATAAAATTGAAAATATGTTTTTTATTAATAATAATTAATTGAAAAAATGTTTTATCGAAATATTATCGTATGCTTTCATATATATTTCAATAATACACCGATTTTTTAATGTTTAGAATATTCTTTAAGAAATTTATATTCGGACAACACATTTGTATAATTGTGTATTTGTTTATAATATGCAAATAACATTTTCATAAGTACAAATATTTATAATTAAAAATTCGTTAATCGAAATTTATTTAATTAATGCAAATAAGACAAATGAAACTGAAAAATCATATTTATCCATTCTTATGTTGATAAAATCATCACACACTTATCGAAAAATTATATAAAAATTCTTCTTCTAGAATATTATAATATTGTAAATGGTGACTAAATTTTTTTTCCATCCATTTGTAAAAGATTCATTTGCTAAATATACGACTAGAAAAATATTTATTCATTTATCGTTACAACCAACCCACATATCACGCATAAAACAGCAACATTATGCATTTTTAAATAGTACTATTATACTTTCTTTTTTTTTTTTTTTTAATAAAACGACTTCCTCTCCCTTTCGCCTTAAATGTACAAAACAATTAATGTGGCTTATGAACAATCGTAGCAACAACGATAGTAACGACAGTCGGGAATTAAAATTTTCCCCTCATTAAAGTCTATGTTGCTTTATAAACTCACTGTCTTTCTCACATGGTTGGTGGATAAATTTACGGTGGCGATGTAAGCGAGTTCGAAAATAGGAACATTTTAACGCGTTAAACAGAGCGTCTGTGTAATATTACGGAAAAGTACGCTCGCTGCATGCATTCTTGTATGAAAATTAAGAGAATTTTTGTAGTATAAATAATAGTAATCTGGGAAGAAACATAAATGAAATTTGTGTTAAATTTATTTCTGTTTCTACAGTAAAGTTAAACGAAATTTCAATGAATTTATTTTATGTTACTTTATTATTAAAATAAATCAATTCAAATGAGAAAATGAACTATTATTAGTATAATAATTATAATTTAAAGAGTAAAATTATACTTAATTATATAACTGTAAATGGATATAGCAATATTCAATAACATTTGCTACTATTGACTGACAAATATCTGTAAAAATAAAAATCAACAATAATATGAAAAAAGAATTTATTACAATATTTTAATTAAAAAGTTTTATTGTTTTAAAAAAAAAAATTTAATTAAAAAGAATTTTTTATACTATAAAATAAAAGAAAATTATAAAGTATTTAAAAATGAGTCAATAAACCACAATAATTGTAAAACAATTGATGCAAAAGGAGTAAAACGAGTATAAAATAATAAAAAAAACAAAATATGCATATTTTTATTTTATTGTTAATATATATAAACATAAAATAACTAAAGAAAATGGTGATTTAATAATGATTATTAACTATATATATATATATATATATATATATATATATATTAATACAAGATATTTAAGATATAGCAGATACTGGTTTTTCATAAATACTGTGAATTTTACATTACGTTTTTATTAAATAATTTCAATATACAATGAAATTGATTTGTATATTATTAAGAAAATAACATAAATTGAATTTCAATCAATAGAAACATTAAGTTACGTCCATTTGGTATGAAATGTAAAAATTATCATTTAAACAAAAGTAGCTAAAGCAATATAAGACGGAAATATATGCTTTGAATTAAAATGTTTTTAATTTTTTAAAAAAAAAAAAAAAAAAAAAAAAAAAACAATGATTTTTAATAAATATTACAATACTTCTATATTGAAACGTAATAAAATAAAAATGTATTCTGATATTTATATTATAATACAAACTAAATTTTATATTAAAAATTCTCTTTATAAACAACGTTTCAAATACTTTTATTTATGTCCAACGCATTGATTCGCTTATAAAAATAAATATTATTCTTAATTACATAAATAATAAAATACAAGAATCGATACTTTATCGCACACGACAGGCAAACTTCTTACTTTTTGCGCAGAAATAATGGAATGTCCATTTTTTTACAATATGCAAGAGACATTGTGAAAATTCAATATATCCAGGAATTGACAGGCTATTCGTCACTCCATTAAACGAGAGAGAAGGATAAAAATATACTCAATCGGTAAATGTCCAGATCAAAATCTAACGTGCTCTAGATCATGAATATATATGTTTTATAGATAAAACTTAAAGATCATATCTATAAAATCGTACACAATCCTGATCATTGGCTGTCATCGCGATTAATTCCACCAACGTACCATACAACTATAAGAATGTAATATTGCAGCATCAAGGCTGCCCTGTGTTCAATGAACACTAACCTCAACAATCGTCCACTGAGTTGAACGAACCCATATAAAATCTATATAAAACGAGAAAAAAAAAGCGTGATGATTCGCGTGGCTATTTTATTAATTTCCACGAACATTCTGTATTAATTGAAGAACTGAAAACTGCGGCTAAGACAACGACTACCTCAAGAGGCTGCCGACAGTCAAAATTGATTATTCCATTTACATTAAACACTCAAACATTTACTACCTACCTTTACGATTTTTATTTATACTGAACACGCGCGCGCACGCACACCCACATGCAAAACACGATTCCGAAAATTTACTACGTCTATTTATGCACACATTAAATTTTTATATTCTTTGGTATGTATATTGTTCAGAAATTTGGCATATCATAAAGCATTTAGCGTATCATTTATTTGCAAAATTTTTTAAGAAAAAATTTTAATTTTCAGTGACTCAAAGATTAGTTAATGCTAACGACAATTAATAAAATAGAAAAACATTACGTATTTTGTACAAATAATAAAAATTTTTACTTTCGATTTTTATATTTTGATATTTATATTACTGATTGAATAATAAGTATAATATAAATAATATTTCAAATAAAGTACTGTTTCACACGAATTATTAGACATTTGTTGTCGGCATTCTGTCCCACGCGGTATACAGACCCCCCCCCCCGCATCCGCCTTCTTTCAATCGTGCCGAACAATCTATACACAATTATTACTTGGTATCGGTTCGATAATAATAAACAGAAATATAAATTATAAATGTCACTAAAAATATGTGTTGTCCATATGAAGTAATATAACAATGAATAGCTCGTAATAATTATTTAAGATTAACGAGTAAAAGAAATTGGATTTTTTAATATTGAAAATTACGATCGTTCGCAGTAAAAGATTTCTTTACACACACACACGCGCGCACACACACAGAGAGAGAGAGAGAGAGAGAGAGAGAGAGAGAGAGAGATCCTATTACGTTACTTCTCATCAAAATTGACTTTTAATCAAATATATATTAATAATTTAATAGACGATATTTTTATAAATTAAACATATTTTTAAACATTTCATGTGTACTTTTAACTTTTTGTTTACTGCCGCCAGATCTGTAAACATTTACTCTATGGATTTCAAAATAATTCATATTTCCATGATCTTAATAAATTATTATTATTATTATTATTAAAGGCAATAAATTATATTTATATTATTTAAATACTAATTGAATAACGTTTTTTTGGAAGCAAAGAAAGGTTTATGTAATTTGGTTATATGAAAATATTACAATTGATATTTGTTTGTTTTTCATGGTATCTTTATAGAATATACAAACATTTATAACAATTTGTTCATTTTAAAATAATTGAATTTTCTTAAATAAAACTTGTACATAATTTTTTATGGTTTTAATGTATTAGGATAAATTTCCACCAATATTTAAATAAATTATTAGAATGCAGAAAGGCGTATGTTTCCATTTTTAATATTTTTCAATTTTTTAATTATATATATACATACATATATAGTCACATAAATTTTTGCACGTATTTTATTTTTATATTAATAAAGACTGTTTCAATATTGTATATGAGTTGATATTATATAAAAAAATATTCAATGTGATTATGAAGTACTTAACTATGACAGAAATATTTAATATTCTGTGATCATTATGACTTTCAAATGACTTATATATAAAAGACATTGATCTTCTATCCAGATATATTTTTCTATATATATATATATATATATATATATATATATATATATATATTCCAGAGATTTAGTGACTGAAATATATGATAAAACTTTCCATTAATGGAATGTTTACTGTACAAGATTACAGT